CCACAGGAATTCAAACAGTTCTTTGCTGTTCTGCGACTCTCTTCTTTGGATCTCCACAGTCGACCAAAAGAAAGTAAATGGTCAGGCGAAGGTCCAGAGTGGAAGATACTCTTGGAAAACTGCATCATCATTCAAACAATGAAAAAGAAACCAGTGAAACATGGATTCACATTACTGGTAATTCAGCGTCTTTAAGGATTTGATTTCGTTGTGTCCACAGACTGTATACAAATCCAAAACCTATATGTGATTCTCTAGATGAAATGAGTAAAGGGTCAACTTCTGTAAAAATACGTTGAGAAGCCAATTAAAATTCATTTCTCCCAGAGACGTCCTAGTTAAAATAGGAGGTTTTAAATAACTGATCAAAAGCGATATAATCCGATGGTCTGAAGCTGTTGTTCTGCAACAAACCGAAAGCGCTAAAAAGCATAATATTATACGTGTACACAATTTAGTCCGAGGTGAAACGTATGAAGGTTTAGGCGTTTTCCCATCAGAATTGCACAAGACAGTTTGATTTAATATCTGGATTGATCACTCGCACTCGATGCGTACAGAACAAGCATTTCAGGTGCCATGGTCGGAAATGTTTTCATTCGGCGTCAACCTTAGTGTTCATCGTGACTACCGACAGTATAAGGAAGAGAGATTCAGTTAAGTTGCTTAGTGCTAACTTATTTAGGTAACAAGACATACTTCAGGATTTCTGGATACGGAATAAAGAGCATACTGGCGTATTCAATAAAATACCCGCAGGAAAGTGAAGCTTAATGTATATAGACATCGTGTAACTGTGGTTTGATTTCCAGAATTGAGATGAAGTCTATCATCCAAAAGCGCTCAGCCGCCGTAGCAGCTATGTGGGTGCATGCGCTGTCAAACCTAACGAAAGCAGGTTAAATTTTGAAAAGGCACAAAGTGTGAAATATGGCTGACCGCTGATTTTGGCTCTACCAATGCTTTTAAGGTAATCTTAATCGATTCAATCCACTAATCGAGACTTGCTCTCACTTGTTCTCACTTTGCTTAGCCAGTTGCAATTGGGTATTGACAGATGAAAGGAATTTCAAGTGTACGTAGGCTAGCTACAATGCACGTGACTGACTACTCGAATTAAATCTGTTGCATTCTAGGCTGGTGGAGTGGTGGGTGAAATAAGTACTCAACATTTATCGAAACCTACCAATAATTCTCCACATATCTCTCATCTGCATCAATCAGAGGGTTCATTCTAGCCATGTTGGAAGATAAAATTTTACCTGTACTTAGCGTACATCTGTTGGAATGAACATAAAGTAGTTGATATTGGAACGGATAGAACCTTTTCTAAAGGAGGTTTCACATTAAACCCTCACGCACAACACTGTGTTGAAATAAAAAAGCGGCAAACCATTTCAGCATGACAAGGCAGCAAACGCGACATATCATATCTGTGGACTGCACAACAGGAAATCTTGACTCCCGGCGAGATTGCATCACTTCACTTCGACATCCCGACGGCTCCTCTCTGCGCTCTGACAGCCAATCAGGCCCCTTTTTGTCATTTGGCCTCCTGGCATCCATGAAGTCAACCACTAATAAGCGCCCGATATATTCACAGAGTGAGAGATGCCTGGCTGTATTCGCCCCTTGTGTCCATGTGATGAACCAAGATCTAGCGGCTGTTTTAAGCCTTCTCACCCCGGTACTAAGTGAACCTCAGTATGATCTTGCGTCCTTCACATAAGACGCTGTTGTTGAAGAATGCCCTTTGGTATAACCGAGATTGTGAACGTGGTTTTCCTGTCTTGTTTACTTATACTGGATCTTCCCTACCACCCACAGGAATTCAAACAGTTCTTTGCTGTTCTGCGACTCTCTTCTTTGGATCTCCACAGTCGACCAAAAGAAAGTAAATGGTCAGGCGAAGGTCCAGAGTGGAAGATACTCTTGGAAAACTGCATCATCATTCAAACAATGAAAAAGAAACCAGTGAAACATGGATTCACATTACTGGTAATTCAGCGTCTTTAAGGATTTGATTTCGTTGTGTCCACAGACTGTATACAAATCCAAAACCTATATGTGATTCTCTAGATGAAATGAGTAAAGGGTCAACTTCTGTAAAAATACGTTGAGAAGCCAATTAAAATTCATTTCTCCCAGAGACGTCCTAGTTAAAATAGGAGGTTTTAAATAACTGATCAAAAGCGATATAATCCGATGGTCTGAAGCTGTTGTTCTGCAACAAACCGAAAGCGCTAAAAAGCATAATATTATACGTGTACACAATTTAGTCCGAGGTGAAACGTATGAAGGTTTAGGCGTTTTCCCATCAGAATTGCACAAGACAGTTTGATTTAATATCTGGATTGATCACTCGCACTCGATGCGTACAGAACAAGCATTTCAGGTGCCATGGTCGGAAATGTTTTCATTCGGCGTCAACCTTAGTGTTCATCGTGACTACCGACAGTATAAGGAAGAGAGATTCAGTTAAGTTGCTTAGTGCTAACTTATTTAGGTAACAAGACATACTTCAGGATTTCTGGATACGGAATAAAGAGCATACTGGCGTATTCAATAAAATACCCGCAGGAAAGTGAAGCTTAATGTATATAGACATCGTGTAACTGTGGTTTGATTTCCAGAATTGAGATGAAGTCTATCATCCAAAAGCGCTCAGCCGCCGTAGCAGCTATGTGGGTGCATGCGCTGTCAAACCTAACGAAAGCAGGTTAAATTTTGAAAAGGCACAAAGTGTGAAATATGGCTGACCGCTGATTTTGGCTCTACCAATGCTTTTAAGGTAATCTTAATCGATTCAATCCACTAATCGAGACTTGCTCTCACTTGTTCTCACTTTGCTTAGCCAGTTGCAATTGGGTATTGACAGATGAAAGGAATTTCAAGTGTACGTAGGCTAGCTACAATGCACGTGACTGACTACTCGAATTAAATCTGTTGCATTCTAGGCTGGTGGAGTGGTGGGTGAAATAAGTACTCAACATTTATCGAAACCTACCAATAATTCTCCACATATCTCTCATCTGCATCAATCAGAGGGTTCATTCTAGCCATGTTGGAAGATAAAATTTTACCTGTACTTAGCGTACATCTGTTGGAATGAACATAAAGTAGTTGATATTGGAACGGATAGAACCTTTTCTAAAGGAGGTTTCACATTAAACCCTCACGCACAACACTGTGTTGAAATAAAAAAGCGGCAAACCATTTCAGCATGACAAGGCAGCAAACGCGACATATCATATCTGTGGACTGCACAACAGGAAATCTTGACTCCCGGCGAGATTGCATCACTTCACTTCGACATCCCGACGGCTCCTCTCTGCGCTCTGACAGCCAATCAGGCCCCTTTTTGTCATTTGGCCTCCTGGCATCCATGAAGTCAACCACTAATAAACAATCGTGTGATTCCGGGAGCCAGCTATCACGAGTTTTCACCAAAATTTCTGTTCACCTAAAGCTTTTGTCGTGTTGGAACTGATGAGGTTTGGGACCTTTGAATTGTCCACTCAGTATGGTTTGCACTTCTCACTACTGCAGAATCCATCAACAGCAAGTCCCTCTGCAACAACAGTCCGTCCGTATTGATTCCTCTTTCTTCTCCTGTCATAAATCAGCGAAATTCTAATAGCGACATTTTGCAAATGTGTTTCCACTTGGAACTGCGATACCTCTGATGGAAAGAATCCAAAAAAATAGAAATAAAAAAATGACCACGCACCGTAAGATCAAACAGGTCCCAGTTTACCACAACCTCTTTAATTCTCACCGTTCTGTAGAGAATGTTTTCGATCGGTTCCGTCAAACTTCATCCTGGAGTAGACAATACTGTACACTCCAGAGGTTTGAATTCCCCTAAAATAGTCATCGCCACAGAACTATGGTATGTAATGTGGATGTAACGTAATTCTGAGTCACAAGGCCCCCTTAAATATTAGATCCGATGTCAGGCCACGCAATTCCAGGCAAAAACGGTAGGTGTGTTAGCCTATGTGCTGATAAGCAGAAGACTTGCACTACCAATCCACCAAACTCAATGTGGAAATGGTTCTCTTGAACTCTGCTTCTATACTTTCTGGCTCCAGTCTTGATCCGTACTCATGATATATTGTCCTCCGACTTCTGCTGGCCTATATTAAATTGGCAAGTAAAGTTTCTGGTACTCACAGTAGATATACATGTCACTCCGTGAACTAATTGTCATCCACAACCGTTTTAGTTGAAGCTGAGGCGAATAAGGGAAACAAATAAACTCCCGTCAGGTTGTTTGTTCCACAAATGTTCAACTATTCAGAGGGATAAATCCAGAGCCAGCTAAGTCAAAGGCATTTTGAAAGCATGTTTTTATAAAAGAAACTTACAGATGATGATAGAACCAGCAGGCACTTATGGATCACCCATAGCCTTATGAATCCACTCCACTTGGTTATGGTCTCGCAACTTAACGCTAATTTGAAATAAGTTTGTGATCCCCACCCTGCACACCGAAAGTATCGCTTTGCGCTGTAGAAAAAAAGCTGACAAGAGAGCGCATGAACAAATGAGGGTTTGATTTCGGCAGTGGATAATTTTTCAAAGCCTTTGTAAACCTCTCAACTACCATACACAATGCTGCCTGTAGATGACCAAATGCGAAGCTAAGCAATGAGAATACTTGACTGTTTGCATCAAATCGCGTGTTTCATTAGTTTCTTTGTTGCTTCCACTGACGGACACCTCCTTGCAATACAGTTATCTGGCGACAGGAATCCATTGTAAGCTTCTAGTTTTCAGCTAGCACTGTGAGATAGTGCTATTTATTCGTTTTTGTTGCTTGAAATCAAGGTGTCCTCAGACTATTCAATGTCACTCATCTGCTGTCATTCCGAATCATTTGAGAAGATTCAGCGCGCTGTTGCTTTCGTTTATTTCTGTATAAAAGACCTTTAATTGACGGGTCATAACAGTATGCCAATTTAGTGACCCCGCGAACATTGACCAGCACAATTCAGCTCTCTATTTACATTTCATTACAGCTTGTTCCAGAAGGCCTGTACACAATGAGTGCACCTTCTGAGTCGGATAAAAACAACTGGGTGAAAACAATACGTGAAACAATCTCTAAGCAAGCAAAACTGGGCAAACAAACAATGGCGCCTGTGAACAGTCAAGAAAAACAGTCAGAAAACTTCGACATCGCTCTTCCTTCCCGTCCGATAAGTCGGACTGTTCGCGCTCTTGACAGTCGCATCTCAGAGTACACCGGTCCTGAAATGAGAACAAGAAAACTTATGTCATCTAGAAGTCTTGGAAGAGAGAACGGACGGTCCAGAATGTCACTGCAGTCCACTAAAAGTCTAGAAAAACTTCGTCGTGATAAACCCTTGCTGGTATCACGCAATTCACGAACACATAGTGGTCCCTCCTATTTAACGGAGAAATCACTTGCCCCAGAGGTAAAACATATTATTCCAACGGAAGTACATTGCCAAGAACAAAGTAATTTAAACAGATGTAAGGACGGTTCACTGGATACCTTAAGCATAAGTTCAACTGTGGATATGAAATCAAGGAAATATTCGGATGCCTCTGACGTCACTATCACCGGAGATGGATGCGGTACCAAACGGAAATTCCTCACCATGCCGAGGCGCAATTCCCCCGCCCAATGCAGAAGAGGGACACTAGTAGCCGTCGAAGAATTCCAGAACCATCGTCAAGATGATAGGTCATCAACTCCACTTTCTATCACAGAAAGGACCAAGTCGAGAAATCGATTTGGGGAGGGAGACAGTAGCAATGAGCGTGCAAGAAAGAATTATCTAAATAGTGAGTGTTTTCGGGGAGGGTCATCTGCCAACAGCGACAGATATATGGGAAACGACATATATTCAGGAAGAAGTCCAATTATCTCCACCGTGAAAAGCCCGGAGCAAACGGGAGTGCACTCACAACCGGTTCGATCGGTGGAAATTCAACGATCCAGTCCAGTTCGATATTTGACGAACGGAACCGAAGAGCCTCCAAGCAGTACGAACTCACCTAAGACTATAACTATTCTGAGACAAGTCACACCAGTCAATGGACACCACGAAAGTTCTAATTCAACGCTCGTCGCAAACTTGCGTGATCCACATGAAATTGCTGAGATGAACGGACAGAATTTTAGAAATGACATTGGGGATGACGAGCGTTCTAAAGATAAACACGAACTCAATAAAGTAAAGACGGATTTGTCAACATTCCAACTGGGTATATTCAATTTCCGTCAGTCATCAGAGCGGGAAAAGTACGGTGCACGAGGATCTAGAATTGTTACTATTCCCGCGGGTACCAAGAAGCATCTCCTGGAGTCTAAAGAAATTGAAGTGAGTTGGACTACCAGGCAGGAAATTTAACTTTGTATTACGCTGAAGGTATGAAAGTGAATGATTTCGGTCGCTCATTGCAAATTAGGCTATTTCAGACCATTTTCTAGGACGTGCAGACTTTTGTGGCGAACTATACGGACGTCAGATTCTGATAATTAGAGTGGCATTTTATAGTTGTCCGTACCTTTGTAACCGATGACAGTACTGACCCTTCCCACCGCAAGTAATTGCCGACTCTTAACTCATACCCGTTGTGTTGTTTGCACCAGATGATACTAGTACTCAACCCAAGGGAACGTGGCACGGTTTACCGTTTCAAGCCTCTTTTAGTTTGCTTGTCTCCGAGCGGCTAGGTTTGAACATAACTCAGTCGTACCTACTTGGATTATCACAGTCCATAAGCCTCGTAGAAGTTAAAAAAAATAGCAGTTCGACCCGTCAATTACAGAAAAACAGACTTAAAATAATTCTGCGATCATGACATTATCCCACCCTTTAAGAACTTGCATAAACGACAGACATACTCTGCTGATCATAGTCATACAGGGCCGTGTCTTCTTAGGTGGAGCTCATATAAATCTCCTGGCAATAGCTGTGCAACCAATCCCACCGGCGAACAAGCCTCATTTCTTAGCAGGGTTGAAGGTTGGAATTCATCCACTATCGATGACAAATACTTCTCCACTGGTGTACCAGAAATTGTTCTACAAACCAGCAAGTGGTGGATTAAAGTCATGTGTTCCATTCATGACATGCTCGATACCACTGAAGATGATAGGTCCTAGGAGCTGCATCGGGACTGAGGATGTTATCCTTTTCAAAGCAAGCTTTTGATTCAACACCAATTGATCGATAACGATTGGGCTCCTGGCTTGATTTTGAAATTCTCCAGCCAGCTGAACAATTTTTCATGTAGTTTAAAAGTTACCGACTCATTGGCTTGCATCCAATAAGTTCGGCGTTTAAAACAAACATTCAGAATTTCTCTGAAGCTAAACACATTCAAGGTCTTTCTTGGAGAATGGAACTCGTGAACTCTGTGGATAGATGACCTGTAAGGAGCTAGAAATTGTTTAAGAAATCTAGTAAGGATGCTTGCTATGATCCATTTTGGGGCTTGGTTCCCCTATGGAAATTCTTCCTGAGAAATTACAATATGCAGCTAAACAGAACAAAGAACGGCGCACACAAAATACAAAAGGTGAGTACCATAGCGAGTGGGGAATAATATTTAGTTTGGGCAGCACTTTTAGTAGTCGATCGATTACAGAAGTCACAGCCTAATAAAGTGCATGGAAAGCAATTAACCCAGCTAAACCGTTTACAGAAAAATGTCGGGGATATGATAGCCTAGTAAAAAGGCCTAGTAAAAAAACTATGGTTGATATTCACAAGTGTTTAGCTTACGACCCGTCGATGCAGCGAAGACTGACGACATAATAGGGTTTCTACGTGATGTTCCTGTTATCGTAATAAACAAGGCGAGACATGACAGCCCGGAAACCCTCGATCAATCACAAGTACACAAGGCCACTTGGAATGAAAATCCAGTTTAGTGTGCGCGTCTGCTGATACAGGATTTTGGAAAACAGCTGCTGCACCTGCGACAAACGTAGGACGCACCATAATTACACGTGAGTTTATTTATGACTCCGGACGATTTCAACAAGGTTAATATATCAGTTTGCACTGTACAAGTATTGTAGATATCGTAGACCGAATCGGGAGCTTCTGAGGAATATCCAAACAGAAAGGTCATCTCTGGTGGGCGTAAACAATGGAAAGGTCATGGGTTTCATTCAGGATAGATGGTGTTCTCTGCTAAGCCACGCAGCGGTTCGACGCTGTTGCACAGATCAACGGAGCAGGTTATATTGTCCCTCGTAGTTGCGTTAGAAGCCGATTACTCCACTGATCAGCTTCTTGCGGCCGAACGCTTGAATGTTCAGCTACTAGTATGGACGCCACGGGTTCAAAACTCCCTGGAGTTGCGTGAGATGCTGACGGCTTCCAATAAGGGTAAAACAGCTGTACACTGCTTCTTGGTTTCTCAGCATATGTTGGATTCATTTACAGGGTGACATCTGCACTGTATAACTGATCTGTTTCCAAAATGGCCAAGTATTCGTGAGGTGAATTGCTCAGAGTATTCCTTATTCTTGGAAAAGACAACGTTTTGAAACCATACTTCGTGTTATATCATGAATGCACGGTTTAACAAAAGATGCAGGAGCTACTTCTGTGAGCACTACCCATATGCAAAGCGCCCTCGGTTTGGGTCTTGCTGAGAACTTTACTCAGTTTAGCATATAAAATGACGGAACTGGCTAGTTTTAACAAACCTTCACCCCTTTTGAGAAATTATGACAATTCAATCGGTAAATTCTAGCTAAACATGGAAGGAAATCGTAATTGAGCACGGAAAATCATAAGGTGATACTCAGAAAGGCAAATGTGCATTTCATGAACTCTCCCTGCAGGACCGACAATAGTCCTGTCCGTTTTTATACGCAGGTTTGTGTGGTGCTAAAGCACGTCAGTAACAAGGAGCCAGTTGGTACTAATTCACCCTATTTCAACCAGTAATTCAGCTGACTCGTTAATTCCAATCCAACATTTGAGACTTAGTTTCAGCTTTCGTTACGACGAACAGAATTGTTCTAATCTCGATTAAACTAGCTTCTTCCTTCAATGGGGGCGTTCCCATATTTTTAACTTCCACATATTAACAGCAAATTCTGGCCTAAAGTTTTGCACCTCTAATCATTATGATCAAGAGTATGAACTACAAATTATGTTGAATGAAGCCGCCTAAAGTTTGTCTGGAAAGTTCATCTGTTCGTTTTAGGGAATGTGGCTCCAAATTGTATGGAGAACCTCTAGCTGTACTTGATTCTGTTCATTTATTCTACAGACCATGAGTTGGATTGAGTTCAAAGTGCCCGATGTGCGGTTATTACCACTTTTATTTTCAGAGTGCGCTCCTCCTTGAAAACCAACAGTTGAGGGAACGAATTCAGCTATTGCACCAACAAAACAACGAGCTGGAATCGAATATTTCAGGTCTGAGAGAAATGGTATGTGTGTGCTTTATCTTGAAGCATTTTACACTTATTTTAGATGTACTTTAGAAATATGAATAAATGGAAGACTGGTGGTATCCACTCACATTAAGTGCGGCTGGGTCCATTCCACTGCATACTATATGGCTTTTTGGGGTTCACACTGTAACTACGGTCAAAAGGCCTTAAAAATTGGTGCATTTCATTCAAAACCACTAGATTTAAACATATACTGCATTTAAAGGCTAGTTTATTTAAATTTTTCATTACCACTTAATGAGATATGACTATTCAACAATATCGACTTGGTTTTCACGAGAAGCGCAACGGAATCTCTCGTTCAAGATTTTTCAGCAACCTTGTGAGTAGTTGCTTTCCAAGAAAATACGTGTATTCACTTCTCTTCAATCAGGCAATTATCAATCATTGTTTTGTTCATGATTCCCTTTAGCCGCCAAACCCAATTATACGCACTGATTTTCATAATGCTCAGGTGACAGTGTAGGGTGGATCTCCCAGTATAGATAGTAGAAATGGTTTTCACACCCACCTTTTTGGGTATTTTCGGAAACCTACTGGAGACACTCATAGGTATTCAGCTGTATCGATTGTGAAAACTTAGTGCAGAACAAACTGGAAAAATGTGCGTGCCGATCAAAGCGCAAATGAAAACGGTTAGGAGGCACGATTCACCATCTTTGATCTCAATACAGAGATTAAGAGAACCAGGTGTGTAAATACAAAAAATAGCGAACACGAAAGTATGCGATGAGAAGAGTACATCACAGCGGACCTGATCAACTGGAGTGTAGAAACGGAAATGAGTGCGCATCACTATGGTGAAGGCAAAAGCTAGATGCAGACGATTGGCCAACTGACGCATCGAACAGCCGGGACGCTTACAAGGCAGGTCTTAAGTTGCGATGCTAAAAGAGCGTTGATTAAGAGCTAAAGTGTCTAGGTTCCACGGTCACCTTGACTTCGACCACTCAGCAGACTAGCTCATGAGCCTGCCAATAGAATCGCCCGGCAAGGTGAATAATCATGATTAAATATCAGTCCAAGTTGGATAAATATCGGCACGACACTAGGCGATGTACGTCTTCCGACTCACTGAGAAGCCTGGCCACACTATAACGTACTGATGCTTTTAACTCGAGTGAAGCTGAAACGTCTTCCATCGGATTTCTCAGTTAAGCAACCATCTGTACTACCTGAGCTACCAGCTTTCTTTTGATGACAGGTAGCTTTTCTAAGTGGAAAGTAATCAGTGCGGTTTTAGTTTATCCCCAAGTGAAAAGACGGTGAAAGCATCACTAATCGCATAAACAAATGTCAAACTTCATCATGTAAATATAAATAGTGTGCTTACTAAACTGCGGTGATTATTGCCAACGGAAGCAAGACGCATAAGAATGACGAGTTCCCTAAAGCTGTATTGATAACAAACTTTCAGGTGCCTTCAGATAAATTTGTAAAGGGGGGTTTTCGGCAAAAGGATGGCCTACTCGATAGGAGCAATAGCATACTCCCTGACACCAAAAATAACTGAAAGGGTAACGGGCAAAATCAATACTAATAAGCCTATCTTTACCTGGAAAAGTCACCCTTCGTGACCCAAACTTCAATACCTGTGCGATCCAGAACAATTCTTTTGTATCAACAACAGGGCACCTCTGTTAGCTAGGTGTTTTTTCGTGATAAATGGAGCGTGTAATGAATTGCCGGTTCTTCATTGAAGTGGGGGGTTAAGTTTATTTGACTTGAGGAGAACGGATCAGTCGACGGATAATGGGACCAACAAAGCTTCCTATTTAAACAATCCTTTCCGCCTAGATGCTTAGCGGCGTTACGGTTACACCAACAAGGGAAAAATGAGGTTTTTCGAATGTATGCAATGGTCACCGAAAAGCAATTGGTTCACAATGCAAGCATATCAGTGACATCCGGCGGTTAGGAAAGTGAATTTTTTCCATGTGGGGAGATCATTTATTGGTGGTACCACCAACTAGTTATGTAGATGAACGCAGAAGTATAATTAGAAGTCTACTTTACTGAAAACTGGATTCAACACTCAAATGACCGGTTTACTGACCACCAGGGTGTACTTTTTCTTTTCAAATTGAGCATTAAGTCACGAGTCGCAAAGCGAGTGGCTTTTTCTAAATATCGATTGATTTTGTTCAGGCCTACCTAAAGCCCATCGTAACGCCACTTTGATCAGTTTTTGTGTGAAGCTTACCCATAACTACGGGGCAATCATCAAAAATTTGGTCACGCTTAGTAGAGGAGATTTAAGTGAATACCCATCCGGAATAGCAAAGGCCTCAAAGCAGAAAAGCTGGAAAGTCCGAGAAATTCAACGGTATTCATAGCATTTCGTCCTCAACCATAACTATAAGCCAATCAAATCATGCATCCGCAACCATCTGGCACCACTCAAATAAGTGCACTTGACAGATACGGTGGTTGGCCATTGAAAAGAGTACACCCAAACCAGGTGCATTCCAAAGCGACCATGGAAAGAAACGGATCGCTTGACGTGACCTCAAGATTATCCACAGTCTTCAAAGTAACTTGTTCTTACATGCGATTAAAAACTTTTACTTTGGCTTCTAGATGCATAGGAAAGCACGCAAACACCGCTGAGTTTACCACTGTTCCCTTGGTTTGGAAGGTTTTGTCCAGCAGGACTCAAGTGTATTGACATTTCCACAGTCCTCAAGCATCACATCTAATATAACGTACTTCCACATTTTTATGTCCCACTATGCGCGAATATTGATGTCCTGCTGCGCGCCATTCAAGTGCCGAGACACTTTAACACGAAGCCCAAGTGCGGCACACACTGCTACAGTGATTTTGTAGCACTGTTGGGAAGGCTCTGATTTATTGTGTATTTGCATAGGAGCAAGTTTTGGGATGTTGAAACAATTCATTTCCCCTCTGCTCTCGAAGGTGACTGGAACATGAAAAATGATTTTTGAGCGTCCGGCCAAGCTATTCGCTGGAGCGAATAATCGTTGGGTTAATTTTGGGGTCATTTTCTTTTCCCTAAATTGCGTGCCCCTTCTGTTTTCATTTAGTGAGACCCAAAATTGATTAAAAGTTTACTCTGAATCATGCTATTGTATGCCAGTCAATACGAGAACTCTCGTGTTCCGTTATTCACTGTTTTAGCTGGAGTCAATGTTACCAAAAAACAATCGAATCTTAGCGCAGGTTGGTTAGGAACTTGAATAACATCTTGACTTCAGTCAATTTCAGCTACCCATGCTGATGTTAGCACCTCAAGAAACGCGCTCGAGCTAAGTTATGGACTGTAGAAGCAGGCAGGTAGTCTTATCATAGCATTCATTTACAGCTACAAGCTGGCATCTATCAAACTATGAGGTCTGAATTGACAAATTCGTAACTGATTTTGGACGGATTATGAACGGGATTTTGTGAACTGATCACATAAGGGCAAAGGCATATGTGGGGAAAAACCACTGTAGTAACAGGATATCGTAAAGTGTGGTGTGAATAAGGTTAGACAATTAAATAAATGTAGTATAAAACCGGCCTAATTTCACGCATGTGCATTAAACGGGCAGATGTATTTTTCAGCATCAGTGCAGACCAAAATTAACCTTAATCATCCGGGAAGTCGCATGGTCTTGTATTTATAGTCAAAATCACATGCGTCTGGGGTTATCAATGTCAAGGGGATTTCGTAGCTCAAGCAAAATATCGACGTGTCGCTAGAACTGTGAACTATTTGATCCAGCTGAACGTTTCGCTTATCTCCACATTATCCTTCGCACAGTTCCAAGCGGTGTTCCAAGTTAAAAGATCAGACCATATTTTTAACTAATAAGCGGATCTTTGTCACTTTTCACAAATAAAAACGACGCCACGCTCTTATCCCACATGCAACTTTTATCAAATGCCCCTCAAAACTAATTTCTTACACAGCCATTTCATTTGGCTAGTGCGACACAACTATTGTTCACGTATATTTTCTCCGGTCAATCTGTTGGCCTCCACGTTTTTGCTCTCTGAAGCTGGTTATTGAGTCGATGATTATTGAACCGATTTGCGTTTTTCTGTGCGCTTGAGTTTACCTATGTGATCTATCCAGATGATCAGCTATACTCTGGAGTATGTTAAACTTGTTCAACCAACCGAATCTCGAAATCTTCATACACAGTTGTTTTTATCCCTCATCAGAATGCAATTGCCGTCTTATAAGTTCGTCCACTGTCTCACTACGTAGCTAGTTCGTTCGACACCCGAGCTGATATATTACACGACAATAACCTGTTTTGACGCCCGAATCGAGGTTACGAAGAATGCAGACCACTCAGCCTCTATCTTCTGATATAGGGCTTCCCTCATTGACGGGATATGTGTAAGAACTTTCTTGAATACTAATCATTCTTTATTTATACTGTCTATATATGCACCAATCAAGTCTAACCCTAGTTGGACGAGAGACAGCTCTTATCAATAATTTATTATACCTAACTTCCCGGTTTCACGAACTGAAGGATTATGATATCGCCTCCGATGATTGGCTATATCTATGCTGTTCTCCCATTTTTCGGTAGCCGAAATTGTAACAGCGAGAACCAGCATGCCTTTTTGGATGCGTTTCATAGAGTGTGGGCTGAACTGACTGAACTACCAATATCTTGCCCATCAACATACCAGCTGAAAAGTCACCGCGTACAAAACTATATCCACTCTGACTTAGGCGAGTATTAGTAGCGTTCACTCAAGACATGAAGTGTTTAACGCTAGTTCTTCCGACGGAAGTACTTGGTGCAAACTAAGTAGACACTTTGGGACTATCTGGCTCGCCCCTCTGCTGTCCAGCCGTAGATCTTACAGATCTTACAGACACGGATATTGCAGTTTGATCCTTTAGTGCCACTCATTCTGGAGTGCACACGGTGATTCTGATCATGCTGTCTTCCGGTGAAGTTTCAGTAAGGTTCTCCGGTAAACAGGCTCTCTAAATGTAGTGAAAAACAGTTGGCGGACTACAGGCTTAACAAATATACAAGTGGTTATGGCGATATACTGTTTGAGCTTAAGACCCAAATGTGTTTCCGGAAGTCCAGTATCCTGGTAGTTAAGGGACTAATTACAAAAATAGTTTAGTTAGAAAGATGCCACCGCAACTTTGTCTTTCAGTAGATCCATGCTCTCTAAGCTTTGATCTGCCAGTTCAGATCCCTTTTCATTTTTTGGAATACTGATATGTGATTACGAAGAGAAACAGTTCGGTAATTACCTACGATCTTAGAAGATGTCTTCTGATCTGGCCAAATTGTTTGCTCAATCAAAGAACAGGAGTCTATTTCAGAGAACTGGGACCAAACGGCCATTCTAGATAGTTGCAAAAGCCATGCCTGAAATGCATGTTATAACGGTCAAAAGTTTTTCCCATGAATTCAGCGCCCAGCTTAGACTATTGAGGTGCATGCTTAACAGAATGTTACATTCAATTGAGTCGAATGGACAGTATCGCACATATAATCAAAAACTAAATGCCGATGGCCTTGTCTTAGAAGACTTGGCGGACTCAGTAGACGGACTGTGAAGAAAAATTCTGGAAGTTACACAATTTTAAGTTTTACTCTGCCTTATCACACCTCTGACAGTGTAAAGGTTTCCAAAAAGAGCAGGAAAGTGGTTTCAAATCCAACAATCTTCGCCATGTCTTCTCCATCTTATTCCGGTTTTGCAATAATGCAGTCAAAAGTGCATTGTTTCAGCAGTTGAGCATCTATAAGCCTGCATAATGCCTGGTAATATTACTAGACTTTTACTATGTTCGCAAATTCACCCTCTTGTTTGGAGATCGTAGACTTTCTCAGTCTAACACAAACAAAACACAAGAAGTAGTCCGCATTTTCGGCACTCTTTTTGTGCCTTAAAAATGCTCTAGCTCATTCACTCCCGTGTCCTATGAATAATCTAAAGCTATGAGCAATAGTTCCTTCTTCGGCTTACTTATCTTGACATTCGTATAAACCTTGGTTGTAATGTGATGGAGAAATTGATCAACGTACTATCAAAGCACGGGAAAGGCCTGTCAAAGCACGGTCTCTGGTTGAAGAAACAAATTTTCCCCAAAGCTATGGAGCCATGTGTAACAGAGGTTACTCTGTGTTTTCAAAATGTGGACCCTTTAATGTATATATTTCAAAGGCTTGTACATCTGTGCTTCCTTAGTACAGCCAAAATCGACCCTCTGCATGTTAGAAAAACGGAATGATGCGTAAGAGCGTGAGCGGAAATGAAATTTATCAGGTTCAAGTGGTTGAGCATATGAGACGACCGTCTACAAAAGTATTTTCCATGTTCCACTGCAAACGGTTCTTAGGACAGGTCTTGAATTGGCAACTTGGTCCTATGAGATCTTAGTGTTAAGCGGGTTGGGTCTCATATGCTTCCTTTCGTACGTACCAGTACGTTACGTACTGGTACGTTACCAGTCTCATTGATGGAAGTACTGTCGATAGCTAACCAGACTAATTTACGAAACGGCTGCTAATCCGCTTCCTGATGTGGTGTCCACATGCATCATGTATTGCTGCTGTAGTGTAAATATAACTTGTTCTTAAACGTGGTTCTTAAGGACCTTGACTTTTTTGAACCATTGACCACAGAACTATTTTCTGAGCTCTATAGCAGTTAGGTCCTAGTTTCCCCCTAGTGGTGTATTAACATCGATCATGCTAAGGATGATTTACAGATCTAGTGAAACGTCCTGTCTTCTTTTTAATCAAACAAATAACTACTTTAGCCGTCATATGATATTTTGTCGTTTATTCTGCTGACCATTTACCCAGGTTGAAAATGGAGTGGATCCTGGTTTAAATTCACTGAAGGCCAATTACAGCCCACGAGATCGGTATCCGTACCTTGTGAGCACTTTGACAACAACTGATACCAAGCGCGCCGTGTCAGTCCCACCACAACGCGTCCAAGGTGGGTGACTTCAGAGTGGTACTTTTCTACGAAACTTTGCTTGCCTTCTACGTGGCACGAAGTCCTTGGTGTTATTGCATGATGCATACGACTACGGGTAGCTGTCAGTGTTATCTGAGTTCTCTAGAAAGTACCATACATCACAACGTTACTTTATGATACTAAGGATGAAAAAACGCTTTCGATTAAAGACGATTTCTTAAAACAAGTATTACAATACTCTATGGAAATCCGATGAATTCCTGTGTCTGTAGTTAACAAAAACTGTTGAAATAGGTCACCACTTCTCAGAGCATAACTAATTGCGGTTTATCTAGAAAGGGTATTGAGGCATCATCTGGGAATGATCAGTGGTTTGTCGATCACTTCGCTATTGTATTTGCCATCGAGAACTCTGAATAGGTTGATGTGCGCACTCGTTCGGCTTATCAGAAAATGATAAATATTGATTTTTGATTCCACATTTCGATTGTAGACCAGTATAAAAAGCTATTCAGA